TTTAGGGATTTAGGGTTTTAGGGTGTAGGGTTTTAGGGTTTAGGGTTTAGGGTTTAGTAATGATTAGAAGCAACCCTGAACCCCAAGCCCCAAACCCAGAAGCAGATGTATCAAAGACAGCTGTTTCGGTGTGTGCGTGTGTATGGATTTTTATGACAGCTTCGTAAGGGGTTTAGAGGGTTTGGCAAGGGTCTTGCAACAATTAACTAGAACACGGGTTTCATAAAAAGGCCTTAAGGTGTTGCACAGGGGTCGTCTAGCGTGAAGAGTATGTTATGTTGGGGTTATACACACCATACCGGGCTAGTACTCATTGCTAATTAGTCAGACATCTATAAAAGGGTTGACAAGCTTCAAGGGGTTCGACTAAGATTTAAGGTGTAGGGTTTAGAGGGTTGAGCTTCATAGGCTTTTTTACGGTTTAAGGTATACTTGGGGGTTCATGGGCCGATATAAATGGGGTTATAAGTAGGGTAGGTAAACTTGTAACCCATATTAGGGGACTCATAACCCTACTTGTAGCTATCCCTAAACCCTATAGAAGCCTTAAGTGAACCCTTACAGGAACCCCACAAACCCCACTGATAGCTACCCATGAACCTCCAAGCAGTGGCTTTCGGGTTCAGAGAGAAGGTTTCGGGCTGAAGAGGGTCGATAGGGTTTCAGGGTTTGGGGGGATGAATGGCATTCAAAAAAACCAAGGTTTAGAGTTTAGGGGCTTAGGGCTATAATCCAGAAGGTGAATGGCATTCAAACAACCTCAGGGTTTAGGGCTTAGGGCTATAATCCCGAGACTCTGTACATCCCTAAACCCTAAACCGTCCTAGACCCAAGACTGAAATCTGCCCCTAAACCCTAAACCCCTAAACCCTAAACCTAAACCCTAAACCCTAAACCCTACCCTAAGCCTCAGCTCCCAACGCCGTGACTCCCCAAAAAGAACCCCCTGGCTTGGTTACGACGAGGCGGCTTCACCATCCTGGCACCAGCTCAGCTGTGGCGGAAGCCTGGATCTGCTTGGAGGTTCATGGGTAGTTATAAATCCAGTTATCAGTAGGGTAACTATACTTATAACCCATATTCGGGGACTTATAACCCCACTTAGAACTACCCCTAAACCCTAAACCCTATAGAACCCTTTAAAGGAACCCTTAAATGAACCCCCACAAACCCCACTTCTAACTACCCATGAACCTCCAAGTGTAGGGTGTCGGGCTTTTCAAGCCTTTAAAACCGTTTAGCATGTTGCGGACGTTAGGGCCGTTAGGCTGTCAGTGCCTAGGGCTTGGGCATACAGTGTCAAGGCTTAGGCTACACCTAGCAGCCTCTAGCAGAAGAAGCACTGAGCTTCTAGCATGAAGCCAAGGTGTGTCTTGCTTCTTGCGACCTTATGCGCATGAATGTCACACAGCTTGTTTATACAAGGGCTTCAGAATTATAAGTAGTGCAGGGTGTGGTGGCATATAGTATGTTGTGTTCCGGAACCTTATGGAATAAATTGAGTACCTGAAAGCTTTTATATGTTGAGTTTAAAATGAACCCCCGCAATCCAAACCTTCGATACCTGGCCCATAATTCGACTACCTAGGGTTGTGGAGGTTTCCGACTCGCGAAACCTAGTTGGACCAAGAGATATAAATTCTATTTGTGCGCCCCCCCCTTCTCAAAGTTTTTTCGTCGACCACCTATATACAAGACCGTAGTAAGTCCGCCACAAGACCTATTGAGACACCTGCGCGGCAAGTCCACCCCTTTTCCAACATGTGGTTACGCAATCAGAACCCTGAACTCAAGCAGCAAAGCAAACGAGGATGATGAATAAGCTACGGCCGTCTATCAGAATGCTGATGATGGTGATGGTGAAGGTGATGGTGATAATGGTGAAGGTGACCAGGAATGAAAAAGACAGAAATGATAATCATCATCATCGTCATCAGTCTCACCATCACCGTCATCATCATAAGAATCATCATCATGCTCACCAGCACCACCCTCACCTTCATCATCATCATCATCATCACCACCATCATCATGACCACCACCATCACGATGACCATCGTCATGACCATCACCATAATAATAATCATCATCTTCGTCGTCATCGTCACCATCCTCATCGTCATCATCATCATCAACAACAACATAATCATCACCATCACCGTTGCCATAATCACCATCATCATCGACCTCATCACCACCATCATGCCAATCATCACCGAAATCATCATCATCATCGTCAGCAGCAGGAGCATCATCAGCATGAACGTGCCCACCGCAGTCAATACTTTTATCAGCATCGTCGTCGCCATCGTCGCGCGACCATGTTGCCCCACGTTTCATTATCATAAGCCAGTTCAGATCCATGACTGTGGTGATGAGGACCGATGCTGATGAACATGATGATGACGATGGTGACCATGATGATGTTCATGCTTTTAGGGTTTAGGGTTCAGGGTTTAGGGACCATGAACCAGCCCAAACTTAAACTGAAGACCCATCTTCATCCCAAGACCGAAACTGCTGCTTGGCAACTCGGTGCAATCGAGAGCAGAGGCACCGAGCTGACGCCAGGCAACTTTGTCCTCCCCACGCAGACTTCGCAATTTCGCTATGCCGCAAGTCCGAAACCCTAAACCCTGAACCCTATAAACCCTGAACCCTATAAACCCTGAACCCTATAAACCCTAATCCCTATAAACCCTAAACCCTATAAACCCTATACCCTAAACCCTAAACCCCATTCTTAAACCTTTACTATAGCGCCCAGAGCTCGGAGCCCTAAACCTCAGGAGACCTGACGCCGAAGCCCTGGGGGTGGGCACGTGCAGAACATCATAATATAGGGGCCTTCATAGTTACCTTGACTACTTTGGGGGTTCCTTTAAAGGGTTCCTTAAAGGGTTCTATAAGGGCTTAGGGTTTAAGGGCCTAAATAATTACCAATACTATATTTTGGGGGTTCCTGATTATAGTTATAGTATAACATGACCCAAAACCCTATTCTAATTATTAAGGCCCCTATATTACAGCTCTCAAAGTTTGGTTTTGCAAATTTTTCTCCTGGGAGTTTGAGGGGGTGGGTGGGACCTTCAAAAGGCCAGGACCAGTCGGAAGAACATTGAATGTGAAAAAAATGAATAGGTGTGGGAATGCACGCATTGTGCCCTAAACCCTAAACCCTAAATCCCTAAACCCTAAACCCCAAACCCTAAACCCACTCTAAACCCCGAAGCCCTAAATCCCTGAACCCCAAACCCTAAACCGTAAACCCCAAACCCTAAATTCCTAGTTCGGGGCGGGGGCTGCCGTGGATTTAGGGTTTAGGGGTTTAAGGTTTAGGGGTGTAAGGGTTTAGGGTTTAGGGCTTAGGGGTTAAAGGGTTTAGGGCTTAAGGGTTTTAGGGGTTTAGGGTTTAGGGGTTTGGGGGTTTAGGGTTTAGAGGTTTAGGGTTTAGGGGTTTAAGGGTTTAGGGGTTTAGGGCTTAGGGGTTTAAGGGTTTAGAGTTTAGGG